AAACTGCACTTCCCTGAAATTATAGCTGGAGTTGTTCTCTTTATGCTGCTTTTCACCGCGGTGTAAGGGAATGAAAGCAATTAAACAGCAGAGGCAATAGTGAGAGAGTGCACTGATAACCTGGTGACAGCCTCGATGGGTGCCTTCCAAAGCTTGTTCCAGCGTTGGACGGCTTGTTTTATGGGCAGCCCTGCTACGTATCTGCCTGCTCCTCCTTCTGACCTGCTGTCTCATCTCTTCCAGCTGTTGGGACAGTGGCAGCATTTCTGTACAGCAGAGCCTCCATCCTGGTGGGGTCTACAGGTGCAACTGATGCAAGGGACTGCTGAAGCATCACTGGGATGTGTTGTTGAGCCTTGTTTCAGAGACGTACAGATACCAGATTTTTATCTGCTCTCCAGACCGTGAGAGCTGTGGTTCATGTGGTTATGTGATGTGCTGATTGGAGAGCAAGATAGAGTGGTTGCATGCACAGAAGCTGACCTTGTTACTTAAATCAGTGCTGCCGCAGTGTTTTTGTTAATCACCTCTCTGGTGTCTGGGAACGCTGTGGGTACAGGCAAGAAGGGAGGTTTGGGCCCGTCTGTGTTGCAGACGCCGGCACCATCTGAGTGACGTGGCTGCACAGCACATGCACACGGTGCTGGTACGTTGGCAACTTTCTGATGGCATTTTTGTCATCTGCTGAGTGAGGATCTGACAGTCATTCCAGACCCTTCCTCCGCAGAGGATGCAGTGGAGGTGGGGTTGTTTTCCCATCTTGCTGAGGAGCTGGAGGTCAGCAGGACGTGCTAAAGGCAATATTTAGGGAGCTGGAGAAGGTCTTGTTCATGCTTGTGAGGAAGGCTGGTGCTGCAGATGTTTGGTCTTACCCTGCTGCCTTCATGACCTGCCAGGACAATATTTGAGTTTGCCCCAAGGTTGGTAGCTTGTGCTCCTACCTCCAGGCACTGTCTCTTAGTCACGATCTATCCAGATTGGACTTGTTTTGTTTTTGGAAATCTGTGTGGACCTAGTGCAGCAAAATTAATTTTTGTATTCCTCCTGCCTAGCTGTGTTAGCTGCCCTGTTCTTTCCCTCTCTGAATTACCTCACCAGGCTGGTGCTAAAGCCTCTCTCTGGGTAGCTCCTGCTGCCAGGGACTGCCACCAGGTTTTCTCACCTCTTCTGCACCCTTCTGGCCACGAGCCAGCAGCTCCCCAGCCTGCAGCAGAGCATCCTGCACCGCTCCTGATGAGTGCCTGTGGGAATGTGTCTTGTTTGGATGTTGGCTTCGCCAGTTGTGATCCAAAGGAGGTCAGATCTCCTTAGCAAGCCCCCATCCTCCTCGCGTCCTGGCAGCAGATGGCTGCCCCTGCAGAGTGATTATTCATGCCAGCTAGCACCGACAAGGGACTTGAGAGGTTTGCAGGGAGTGCTGCTGTTGGGGCTTTCTGCCAGCTCCACTCTAACCCCAAATGACAGAAAAGCCTACCAGGAGAGGAGACGGAGATGTGCCTGGAGAGGATGCGGTGTTCCTACAATGTGTGCTGTCCTTGTTGTTTAGACTCCTTGCTTAATTCAACTCAGACCTTTCATGCAAGCTGCTGTGTGTCTTTGCTTCTCCAGGAGAGTTTTGCAGCTCCAGTTTGGTTTTGCAGGAGTGGGGAGCGTGGGGAAGGTGCCTGTGGGAGAGGAGGGAAGCCATGCTGATGCCCCACTTACGGTTTGACCTTATTACCATGTAGCTGCTGGTTGGGCCCTTCGTGATACTGCAGATAAGGTGATGCTTTGGATGGTTTTCCAGAGAGAGAAAGCTTTAGGAGTGCCCCCAGGCAAAGCAGGGCCCCTTTCAGCAGTAGCACAGCAGGGATCTGCGAAGTTTGAATTGCTCTGCACAGAAATGCCACGAGGCAGCTGAGGACAGCTCCTGGGGACACGTTACTGAGCCACCCTCAAGCCAACATCTGGAGCGTGTTGGCCTGGGTGGCAGAGGGTTCATTTGGGGGGCATTTTGTTTGTTGTCCATCAGCGTCCCGTCCCCCAGCATCAGTTGTTGTAACAAACTCTTATACTGCCTCTTCAAGTGGCATAATTAAATTGTAAGAACCGGAGTCCTAATTACCCTCTCCCTTGTGGGAGCTGAGAAGCTCGTCTTTGGAGAGAGGCTGCTGGCTGCGATCCAAAGGAGACGAATCTCAGAGCAGGCTGCATCTGTGTTGATATTTACTCATATTAAGGATAATGGTCATTACCAAGTGATATCAGAGCAGGGCTGCTCTTTGCAGGTTATTTTGGTCTGGCTGTAAATGAAAGAAGAAGGAAAAGGAGAATGGGTTCGTCTCTGCTGTTTCTGCATGTCTTGTTTTCTGCCTTTTCCAGAGCAACTTCAGCATAGCATCTGAATCGGTGGGCCTGGCATGTGCAAAAATCTGCACTGATGCATGAAAAAAAATTACTGATACATATTTAGACATTTCCTATTCGGGGAATTTGCTCCTCTTCCATCCCTTGCATCAGTGCAGATAGATTGCATAAACAGAGTAAACTCCCAATGCACTGGTGCAGAGAATCAGCCCTGTAAATAGCAAGAGACGTACTGGAGCAAACTGCTGCTTGCTTTCCTGTGATAATGGATGTGCACTCAAGCAGCTACAGGGATCTCTAAAAATGGAGCAATCCTGAAAGCAGGGCAGGCTTAGTCTGTTCCTTCTAGTGAAACAGCTGTTCTTATCTCTCCTTTTTTAATAGAAGCTCATGCAAACGGGAAGGGAGTTGGTAGGCGTTGGAGTGGCAGGAGATGCTAGTGCCTTGCTTAAGGGTACGTCACCGTGGTCATATTTTGTAGCCTTTCCAACTATAAACACTGCAGAACTTTTCTAGAGATCTAGACTGATAAGCAAGGAAAAATTCCCTATTATTCTCTGCATTTTTTGAAGTTGCACTGAACTGATGGCAGAACTGGCAGCAGAATTGCCTTGACACCCATTTTGCTCCTCTGCCCATGCCAGAACAATTGTCACCACATCCTGGGGTGTCACAGCCTCTGTTGCTAGAGGCAGGTCTTCAGCATTGCAGTTGCTTACCTCCACCATCACCTAATGTTTGTCTTGACACGGCTGAGGTGACCGCAAATCTCTGTATATCCTGGAAGCTTTTGGGAGCGTCTAGAAGGATATTTACAAGTGTTAACTGACCTTAACGTGGGCTTACCCAACTGCCAAGCGTTTAACTCCAGCAGTGCCATAGGTCTATGGCTCTAGATCTGTGTCTGGGGTAAGATGAGTGGGGATTCTGAAACTGGTGCTTCCTCCTGAGATTTGTTGACCTGTGAGACCTGCAGGTAAGTGAAGACAGGATGTTTCTGGCCCTGGGTTTGGTGGTTTTGCTGGCTTTCTCAGCAGAACTCCAAATCCAGGTTGTTTTGTAACCTGGTTTGGTTGCAAGGAGGGATGTTCATGTTATTCAGTGAACAAATAATATGTTTTAGCTCCATCTTCCACTGGAGTCTGGGGAAAACAAAGATGCAGCAAACCATAGGAAGGTCACTGTCTTCCCAGGCTCGGATCTCCAGCCTCCTGAAGAAGAAAAGAAAAAGTTTAGGGGCTGCAGTGACTGACTTTGGCTATGATCTGAAAATGTATGTTAGGCATGAATCAGTAGCACTTAAGAGAAACATGCTTCTCTAGAATTGGGGGTTGCAAGTGCTCCTTACCGGTGAGGTGGTGACATGCTCTGCTGCTTCCTTAAAGTCCTCCTTTCAGTTCCAGCCTAATGTTCTGATTCCCATGCACGTGTCTATAGTATCCCCTTCCTTATTTCCATCTAAAAATAATCATTTGGGAAGTTTCCATGAAGGTGCACTGTCATCTTCAGCACGCTGCAGACTTACTGTTGGTTGTTCCTCCCGTTTGCAGGAAGGCAGCTGGGGAACACCGGCAGAATTAGCGCCAGTGCTGGCAGCAGCACTTCATTTGGTGGGACCCTTGCATCTCGATGCCTCTAATGTATCTCTAATTGTTTTAAACTTGATGGGTTTTCAGTGTTTTCTTTTTCTAAAGTGATTTCTCTGTGCAAAAAGTATGAGTTGTCCTCTGCTGGGAACAAGTTTTCAAGCTTTTTAATCTTGCTGTTTGTCAATGCAAAGACTGGCTTCATCGGTGTGAATCATCCTCTTCTCTTTGTAGTCCCACTGTTTCACTCATCTCCCCAGGTCCGTGTCTCACTTCACATTCACTCAGCTCGAAGCAGACTTAATCTGCATTTGTGTCATTTAGGACAGCGTATTCCACAAAGACCCTTTACCTCCCACCTAACCAACACTGCAGTTTCTCCCGTGGCCCTTTTCTCTTCTGTAACTCAGCCTAATGTGGCTTGGGCTGAAAACAATTCACTCTTCTTCAGTTGGAAAACCACCTGCTTCTGTGGTACGAGCCGAGGCCGCATCCCTCAGGCATATTGTGGATGGGGTTGCTGGGCTTGGGGCTCCAAAATCTGGATTGATTTTTATTTTCTGTGAGACCTTTTTAAGGCTGGCCACTTCCAATCTGGTCTTGGAGATGCCATGGAGATTGTTCATCTTTTTGAGTTAGCTTCTGGCAGATACGAAACTGACCTGCTTTTTCTCTTTGAATCTTTTCACAAGCTGTGCTCTTTGGCTACCACCCTAACAGTAACAGTCTTAAAAGTTGATTTCCTGAATTTTATATTAATCCTGTGGACAGAAGGTCAGCTCAGAGGTGCTTGGACATGCTAGAATGGACTCCTTTTCCGATGGTCAGAGCCTGGCATTGTGGTTTTAACATAGTCCTTTGTGTCCTTACCAGGCAAACCAAAGAATTAAATTGGCTAATGCAGATTTCCACAATGCTTGTCACAGAAACTTAGCTGAGCAGCTTCTAAATTAACCATTAGGTGCAACTAATTACTGAAGAGGAAGCAGTGCAATGAGTTTCCAGAACTGAATGCATTTGATTTCTTTTTCTTGTAACCATTTTTCTTCCAATATGTGTTTTTTGCAGTGACACTGAAAGCCGAAAATTATGCAAGAAGATGAAAGTAGATCCTAATTCAAAGGAGAAAGGAGTGGAATTGCTCCATTATAAGTGAGTGCTGGGCTGGGATTTGTAGTTCCTAATTGCTGATGCCCCTGTTAGGACTATTCTTTCTCCTTGCAGCTCTGTTCTGCTGCTGCATGAGGGCTTCTTGTTTCTCCTGTGCCTCAACATAAAATTGCTCATGGTTTCTTCAGTTTGGAAGCATGTGTTGTAACAGCAGTTAAGTTTACTCTGCTGTTGAATAGTACACATTGAAAATATGAGCTGGACTTGTGGGAGAGATGTCCAGTGAACTAAAACTACCCGATGCACAGCATTGGGTGGCTGAGATTTGGATCTCATGCTTTCTCTGTCACTTGCCTACTGGCGTGTGCTTTGGGAAAGTGGCTTTACCTCTCTGTGCTTTCTTTTCTGACTTGGGGCAGTACTTTGTAATATGCCTGGGGAAAGGCAAGTGTAGTGAGAGTGCAAGATTTTTGTTTTCAGAAAATAATAGGAGTGGGAGTATTGTCAATGTAAGAGACACCAAGCAGCTGCATCTCCAAAGATCGTGCCTTAGTAAATTTTCTTGTTAAAGCAACAGAGAGGGATTATTTACTAGAGACCTGTTTGCATGACGTTCTGTTTCTGCATCCTCCCTCTTTCCTCGCTCTTCCCTGCCCCTCCCCTCCCGAACTTGCTGTGGTGTCAATTCTGCTTAGTTCTGGGGCTTTGGCAGGATAATGTTATTCTAGTTAGAGAGAAGTGAGGGAGAGCAGCTGTATGATTTCCAGCAACGCTACTGTAAGTTAACACTATTCCCCACTCCTTGTTCAACAGGGACGGTGCATTTCATACTGAATATAACAGAGCTGTCACGTTGAAGGTAAACTTGATTATTATTCTTTTGCTAGGTATGGGGGAGACAATTGTGGATTAAAAACAGGTGTTGGTGGTACTTCATGCTGAAGGCATGAAAGGGATGGGGTTAATCTTCATAAACAGCTGTCAGAATGACCTAAGGGTTTTTGTGTGCACGCATCTGCCAAGCACCGATCCAGAAAAGCTGTGTATTATTAACAAGACTGAACCCATGTTAAACTGTCATGTGAGTTAATGTTCAAGCTGATAACAAATAGCAATCTTCTGGTTTTGATTACCAGATGTTATTGACGGCAGTATAACTAAAAGTATTAGTCGATACTGCATTTTGATAGGGAGTTCCCTGAGGTTTTTAGGTCTTGTGTTTATAAACAATTGAGTGGCCTTATCTTTGATTTGATCATGGAACTGCGGTCCCTATGGATGTGCCCACAGTGCAGCAGGGATGAAATGACCTTTGTTTTCCTGCAAATCTTGACACAAAACAACAGGAAGCAATGTTCTGTGAGCACAATGGAAGGAAAAAGACATGAAATTTGAAAAGAATACGTAGATCTCTGTGACAGGGGAAATGTACTATAAACATGCTAAAAGTGAGCAACCTTCCTCTGCAAAGCCCTGGTGAAGTGCTGGGAGTGCTCCATGATGATTTGGATTCCAGAAACATCTTCTGTCCAGTTCTGATGCTAGTTTGAGTTTCACTTCCTCCTCTTTCTCCAGCAAATTGGGACTCTGCACAGTCACTGGTCTTGTTGGAGGCTTGATGAAGTCAATTCAGGCTGCCAGGGTTACACTCACTTCTCTTTTCTCCTTCCTTCAGGGGGCTGGGCTGGGATGGAAGAAGCTGGTGTGAGATGCTCTGTGAACCCAGTTCTGTCAGAGTGGCCACTCCTAAGCACACCTGCTCTGTTACCTTCCATCCACAGCAGATTTGCTGTGGGGTAGATGATGGAGGGCTCTGTCTTGGAAATGCTCTGTGGCTTGAATCATCTGTTTAGCCTGCTCTTGGGGTTGTCATGCTGGATTTACACAAAGTGGGGGGAGTAGGACTGTGCATCTTCCCATCTCCTGCAGCAGAAATGCTGCCTGGCACTGGGAAGGGCAGTGTTAGGTACCTAGCCTAGTCAGCAGTGGCTGAGGCTGCTTCTCTACTTACTGAAGAAATGCATGTTTTTTTTCCCTCTTTGTGGGTGGGGTGATGGTGACTTGTTAGCTGCCTAAATGTGGGTGGTTCGAACAGTGGTTGAGATATCTTTCCTGCTCTCCTTAAAATACTGCAGCTGGGAGTTAGTGCTGTGACTCAATTCCTCACAGATAGGATCAACTGGAAGGCACCTGCAGAGCCCCGAGGAGGGTTTCAGCTGAGACACAACTGTAGCAGAACAGGAACTATATGAATTATTCCTTTTGTTACAATTTTGTGGTGATTGTTTCCCCCTTCCCTAATGCCCACTGGTGTATTTGCCTCTAGCTGGTGAGAAGGAAGCAGCTCTGGGGTGACCCCATGTGCAGGGAAGTGTGAGCCCAATGTGGACAGAAGTGGGGTTTTGAAGCTCCCTTCCTCCAGGAGCTCTATTCTTTCTTAATTTAACTGCCCTTGTGAAACCAGCTGCTAATGATTTATGGGTTGGGCAGAGCATCAGAGCTGGGCAGTGGTCAAAACTCAGGTGATTGTTTCATACAGCTGCCAGCAGCAGAATGATTAATGTTGTCTGGATTTCTCCCTCCATGCCACTTCTCCCTGGTTTCTCGTGTTGAGGCAGTGACACTTCTTTCTCACCTTCAGCTGAGTTTGTGACAAGTTTTCCAGCACATTACAAACAGCAAGCAGCAGAGTGATACAGTTACATCGGGTATCGTACCCATTTTATGGACAAATGGACAGCCTAAAGAACAGGGAGATTAAAGGATTTGTTTCACATCATTCAGCAGGCTTGTGGCAATAAAACTCGGATCTCCTTCCCAGGCATCCAGCAGGCATACAAATATTAATGTGATGTTTTGGAGAATAATGGACACAGCTCTGAAGAGGAAATGCTTTATCGCTGTAAAAGGATTCTTCTGAAATAATCGGCAATTTCATAGATACGGCTGATCCAGCTGATAGTGTACACGGAATCTTAAGAAAAGCTCTTCATTTCTTGGAGTAACTAAACCCTTATGTAATTACCAGAGATGTCCTTGTGGGTTAACTCCTAGAAAAATGAGGAATAAATGGTAGTTCAGTGTTCACAGTGGGGGAGACATTAGTGCTCAGAACCTCCTGCTGCTGAGACCTTTGTTAGGGTCGGAGCTGTTCGTGTGTCTTGTCAAGGGGGTGGATAGCAAGGTAGCAAAGTTTGGTGATGTAAAATGCTTAGAAATAGCTTTAAAAAAATAAATTAAAAGGGTTGGGAAGGCTCTTGCAATACCAAGTGGCTTGTCAATATGAAAGCTAGAACTTGTGGGGTAATGAACATGTGAGGGAAGGAAGGGACACAGCTCCAAATATGCTGGAGTAATGGCAGGCTAGGTTCTGAATTACCAGCCAGGACAGTAGGTGGCCTGAAAATATTGCCCCTGTGCTGAACAGTAGTTTTAAAAGTCTAGTGAAGGAGCAGAGAGTAGAAGAGGAAATGTCACTCCACCATCTGTGTCCACTGGGTTTTTGCATCTAGTACGTGTTTCGGGTTGCCCCACTGCGTGGAAGGTATGGAAGTACTGCAGAAGGGCAGTGAGGATGATGAGAACTATCAGTGGCTTGAATGTTTACATTGAGGGTTCTTGGGCTTGGAAAAAGGGCACTGGAAGGTGATTGTGACAGGTGTTTATATGACTGTGAGTATCTTGAAGAATGGGATGATTACCTGCTTCACCTCAAAACTTCAGTGCGAGCAGTGGCATTTTGAGGCAGCTGATTTGAAACAAGTCTGCTGTGTTTAAAAAAAAAAAGTAGTTGTGGAACTCAAAGCCATATGTTCTGAAAGCTAAGAATTTGAAAGTCTTAGAAGCAGTATTAGATAGTCATAAAGTATAGATCCATTGGTAGCTAACAGAGGTACAAATACAATAGCTGGTGCAGAGTCCATGAACTTAATTACTTTTTGCCAGAGATTGAGAGCCCATACCATGCATGCTATGTAAGAAAGGTGCTAGTGTAGCTTTTCCCCCAGTTATTTGTAGTGAGCTGCTGTTGGAGACCTGAGGTTAGATAGCTTTCTGACCTTAATTATTTGCTTTAGCCACACTGTGTCCTAATCCACTGTAGTGCCATACAACCAGTATCCAGGCTGTATCTATAATTTGCTGAAGCCTTTTCTGCAGGGTAAAGTACAAGGGAGTTTCACTCTTTTTCTAAAATGGAAGAAAATCTTTAAAGTATAAATCTGTTCAGTACTAGCAAAGGGAATAGACTAACCCAATAAATTAGACCTGCTGTAAACTCTGTATCCTTTTCAAGTTTGCTCCTGTAGGAGGGTGTGTGTGTATGAAATCATGGGAAGTTTTACAAGCATCTCTACTGCATTACTGAAAAGGAGGGAAATGTGCAGGGATGTTTCCATATTTATTTTTTTCAGGTTAAAATGTGAGTCCATAAATGATAGCAAGCTATTGTGCTATTAAAACTTGCAGTGTATGCTGGACAAAGACACATCCTGTGTTGTGCTGAATTGGTGTTCGAGGTTCAAAGCTGTTGCAGGGGTTCAGGCAGCAGGTTACAGCCCAGCACGGCTCTGTCGGGGCTGCAGTGTCAAAGCAGGTCCTGACCCCATCACGGCAGGGCAGGAGTGTAGCTGGTCCTTCAGCATGGGGGCTGCTGTGCTGTGGCCTGGACTTTGCTCAGGTCTCTAACCCAGCAGCCTGGGGACCACTGCTCTTCTGTGATTAGACAGCACCGTGGTTTGTTTGTGGGGATTTTTCTTTCCCATTTAAAAGGGTGCAGGAAGTGCTCTTCACAGAGTGGAGTAATGAGTGCAAGGCACCGTACTGCCTGCTCCTGCCAGAAGACATTACACATCTAATTTTTTTCTTTCTTGGCTGAGAGGGAGAGGCTGCAAGAATTAAATCTCTTTAATCCCCCGTCCTCTAACCGCATCTGTTTCTACATCACTGAACTTGGCACGTAGGAATTCTTGAAACTAACGGAGTCAATCGGACTCATTAGCTGTTTAAAATGTTGACCCCTTTCTCCTCCCAGCCAGTATATATTTGAGGTCTGTGCAGACTGAGTGCAAGCAGAACTTGATGAGGTGTTCGGAAATGTGGAATATCTCCCTGGCTTTGTCCTTCTCTCCTTTATCCATATGTTACTGTCTTCTTACAGCATCATTTGGGATGCTAATGCCTTTAGTTTTCAATTTTTTTTTTACTACTATAACTGCATTATAAATTACTTGAATTTCTTCTAGCTGGCTTCTTTCTCTGCTAATGCCGTATGAAAACAAATTTCTTCTACTCAAAGTGTTTGTGGTCCCAACACTACTACCTAACCCCTTAGGTCTTCTCACTGGGTACATTAAGTGCTTTGCTTGCTGTCTAGTGAATAATACGTGCTGCCTCTTATGATCAGACAAATCTCTTCAATATTAGCTAAGCGAGTAGACAGAAACATTAATGCCATAAATGAATCCTGCTGTAAGCTCTGAATCCTCCCAAGCTCTGTAGTACCAGTTGCGATGCAGGAGAATGAGCTGAGCTGCACTATCTGTTGATAAGCTGTTTGGGTATTGTACCAGAGGAGCCCTACCCAAGGCAGAGAGGTGGCAAAAATGTTTCTTGGGACTGTTGCAGTGACAAGTGTCATCAGGTATGCTGCTGACCTGCTCTTGAGAAGGTGGCTTACAAAGGTGGACTTCAAGATGGATGTTCTTGGTGTGTGTTAACATATACTTAGCTCTGGTCTTCCGTCAGGAACTGGTTTGGCAGAATATCCCATGGCTGATAAAGGCTTTAATGAATGCTCTCACATGACTTTCTTTGCTTGGACTGCAAGTAAAGTTTGCTTACTGCTATAGTGTCATCATCAACTTAACTCTTACAATGAAGGGAATCATAAAATCGTGTAATATCCTGAGTTGGAAGGGGCCAACAAGGATCATCGAGTCTAGTTCCTGGCTCCATGCAGTACTGCCCTGGAATCAAACCACATACAAGAGCATTGTCCAAATACTTCTTGACTCCAGCAGGCTTAGTGCTTGACCGCTTCCCTGCGGAGCCTGACCTCCCTCTTGGTGAAGAACCTCTTCAAAGTTCTTGGTGAAGAACCATGCAGCCTGAACCTCTCCAGGTACATCTCCATGCTGCTCCCTTGACTCCTATTGATTGGTCACCAGACAGAAGAGATCAGCACCTTCTGCTCAGACCTCACTGTGTGGCTGGTGTAGCAGGGTTCCTGTCAGGGACTGGACGAGTACCTACAAGGAGTGCCACAGAGAAAGAAAAAGCAGTCAATCTGAGCTATGAATGAGCATGGAAATGCAAGTATTGTATTTCCTAGAGCACAGACATCTGAGGATAAGTGATCCAGCTGACATCCCTACGTACAGCTGGAAATGGGGGGCAATGCTGCTCTGCTGAATTCCATGGAGAATGTCTCTGACTTCAGAGGGCTGGAGTTTCCCTCAGGCTCAGTGTGAAATCAGAATCAGTAGGAACTATTTCTTTGTGATAAAGAGGATATCTGATCTGCCAGCACAGGAATTGTTGGTTGTATGTCTGTCAGGTAGAGCAGTTATAAAGTAAGCTTGAGCAAGTATTCTGCTTGTCAAATATGGGAGCTGCAGAACCATAGGGTTTCACATTTCCTGCTTCTCTTGTCATGTTTGCTTGCAACACTCCTACTTAAAAATCCAGTGACTGCGGTTTCTAGGTAAACGGGTCATAGGGGAAACTACTGGTGGATTATTTTTCCTCTGACCAAATGAGCAATTTGATTTATAAGTTTGGAGTTCATTGCTTTTGCTCACAGTGTGCCCTCCAGCTGGTCCTATTGGATGCAAAAGTTACTCCGATGCAGTGAAGGGCGTGGAAGCCTGACCTCTACATAAAGAGAAATCTTTTATACTAAGCCAGCGTGTAGCTGTGGAAGTATTACAGATCTAGTACTATTGAAAGAGTTCTCTGGAGGATCCTTGAAGCTTCTGTCTATATGTTGGTCCACCTCCATGTGTTTTCCCCAGTTTTATAGTGGAAGCAGGCACTGGTAAGCTGGCATATCAGTTCTGAGGAAGGTACACGACGGTACATCACTTGGTTCTGCAATAGGAGATTGGTTTTCATCTCCACTATAGCAGATGAGTATAAAAATGGAAAAACAAAGGTCCTAATTGGATAGGGTTCACATGACAGCATGGATTTGAGATTGGAGTCTGGTGGTTCTCATTCATTTTGCTTTAAGAACTTTTTTTTTCCCGTTTATTACAGTCCATGGTGGCCTTTCTCAAGGATCCAGAAGGTGCACCGCTGTGGGAGGAAGATCCTGAAGCCAAAGATATTGTGCATATTGACAGTGAAAAGGTACTTCAGCTGGAGAAATGTTCTGTATGTTTTATAAATATATGGAATGTGAGGAGTATGCATGTTTGTTTAAACTCTTAGTGAAGCACCATTATATCTTTTGGAAGGGAAGATTAAAGCACCCAAACTGTGACGTGACAAAGCCTGTGTTTTGTAATAACCACAGAGCAACGTCTCCTGCTTCCCTCCTTCTTCTTCCCTGTGTGGTCATAATATTAGTCTGTCAGCCACACAGCAAGCATTAAAGCATCGTGGATGTTAGGGTGGAAGAGACCTGTTTGTCTCAGTAAGTGTAGCAGCTTCCAAGATGCAGTTGCTGCAGGAGGCAAGTAGGAGGTAAAATGCTGTTCTTACAACTGCAGGTTGTCAAAGTTAAAGCTTAGATACTCTCCTGTGCCTGAGGTCATCTCAGGAAGTCTCTGCAGCAGGCAGGAACAGGATCCAGATCTGGAGTGATTTAACCTTGTACAGTAATCATCTACCATGGCAAGTGGGAAAGCCGCAAATAAGATAAAAACTACCTTAAAAAGCCAGTGCCACCACAGAGCTCCCCATGATTTTCTCTCTAATATAATCAGCTTGGTCTTTTGTATTAGTTTTCTAGCCTATTGATTTTTAAAACTTTAATTGATTGGACCCTCGCTGGTATTTCGTAAAGGGCCTTTTCAATTTTCTAGCTTTCATTTTTAATATTAGAAATAGTTATTTTGACATTAGGTTTTTGTAGGAAGATTAATTTTTAATGTTCACCTTCTGTACTCTATAATAAGTCTTCCAAGGGTTGTGTTCAATTTGAAAACTTCATCTCATTTCTCCACCATGCTGGTACTGAAAAATCTATTCTCATGGCCTCTCATAGCCCTGACCAGGTTTCATAGTGTGGCAACTGAACTTTAGTTTATTATTGAGTCTGACTTCTCGAGTTAGAATACATTTTTTGGATGGATCAAGGAAGAAAATGTTTCCAGTCACAGGTTCTGAACTGAAAATTGATCAAGCGGTACAATTTCCACATCTTAACACCAAAGATACTAGTCTTCAATATTTAGTGGGTATTTGTGTCTATGAGAAGTTTTGCCAGCTCCTTTCAAGCTACAGTTGAGCAAGCAGAAGCAACTCAAGTGTTGTCTGTTAGTAAGTATGACCCTTCTTTTCCCCCAGAGAAATGAGCCTGTGTTCTATTAACATTTATATTGACTTTTAAAAGTTTTAACACAAGTCACAATAAGAGATGTCATTTTTGTCTAAGATTTTTACTTTATTTGGTTCGTTCGCTAGGAATTGCGAAGGCTTCTGAAGAAGGAAGACAAACCCGTTCTGATGATGTTCTATGCCCCGTGTAAGTAATCCAGCATGTCCTTTCACTTCTTGTTTCTTTCTTCACCGAGGTATGTCCAAGGCTGACTGGAAGCTTCACCTGTGCTTTACTAACACCCTCTTGTCCCATCTTTATCATTGAAATCCATGTGGTGGGTTACCTATGTAATTTCTTTACCGGTTGTCCTTTCTAGATGTGCATTGTAGTAGAAGCATGATATGCTGAGCACATTAGTGTTAATGCAGCTTTCTGAGGGGGTGTAGTCCCTCAGTGCTTCTTGCTGGAAGTGCAAATGAACATTGTACGTGCTTTTTTTCTTTTGTACTTTGGACCATGGTGTAAGACAAGTGGTTACACACGAAAGATCTCTGGAGGAGACCATGCAGTTGAAAGAAGCTCTATTTGTTCTCGGTAACTGGGTGCAGAGGAAACCACAGTGCAGTGGTCAAGAGCAGGAATACTTCTCCTGCTCCATCCAGGAGGCACCCTGGGTGTTTCTGCTGTCACTGGCAGGAGTATCCTGAATACAAATGGAGTTTAATTGGGAGGGTGGCAGGAAGGAAAGAGGAGAGCATGTCGGAGTCACCGCATTTCTTTTGCGACCTTGACACTGCATTGCTCTGATCTTGTTATCATGTTGGCTGCTTCTTCCTTAATTTTACAAATTTACAACTGCTTCTTCACATTTTCTGATGACAGGTATATAAGAGGCTTTCCAGTTCTTGAAAACAAAGTATTGCTGTGCTGGAGTTGTTGCTCAGCTGGAAAGCAGGGCAGCCATGAGAAAGGAACGAATGTGTGACCTAAGCTGGAAAAGCCTCCCGGCACTGTCCTGGTTGTGAAATTGATGTGAGGCATTGCTACCAATTTGCTGTTTGTTTCTCTTTTAAAATTAGCATCCCGTGGCAGGATTATCTCCTGTTTCAGTGTATTTTCTCTGGTAATTATTGCCTGAAACACCATTCTACCTTTTTCAGTCTCATCTGTGTACAACCAAGATGGCCAGAATTGCCCAAGACTTAGCTTGCTGCATCACTCAGAGGATGTTTTTTTCCTTAATTAAATTAGCAGCAGCGCGGTGCCTTCACGCTCTGCAGCAGGCCGGGCCTGCGCGGCCTGGCCTGGCGTGTGGAGAGCGCCAGCGGCCATGGCCGCCGCGGTGTCGGCGGGGGGCGATCCACCCGCTCTGCCTGCAAATCGCCCCCTCAGGGAGCGTCCTGCTGCGGAGAGCTGTCGCAGTTTACCTGTATCATGAATAATTGTTTTTCCGCAACTGAGTCTCTTCCTGAAATGTGCCTTATCTAGCCCTTCGTTCTCTTTGAACCGTTCCCCCAGAAGCCCTCCTCCTTCCAGTTTCTCTTCTTTTGAAGTGGCAAAACACCTGCTAGTCTTCAGTGCTATAATACTTTTTGCTGATTTCTAAACTGCTGTGAAGGAAGCCTACTTGTAAGGTGTTTTTTTTTTCCCCCCTCTGATTTCACGTTTCTTAACTCCCTCATCTTTTATTTAACACACGAGACCTTCTGATTTGGTTCTTATCCAATTTTTCTTTTCTTACTCCTGCTCCACTTGAGACAGAATACGTCCAGCAGTTTTATTAAAATACAGACTTGGGGAAGCTGGAGTTGCAGGTTGCTGTCTTCTGACATGGGCGTTGATGTTCGTACCTGGGAGCAGCAAATTGAGGCTGGCTACTAAAGGGATTCATTTCCTTGCTTGTGAGGTGGAGGGTCTTTGGCAGGAGAGGTTGTTGGAGCCTTTGTCTAGGAAGGCATGGGGAAGACGGCTGCATTCTTTCTCAGCTTGGCTGGAAGCAGAGGGTTTAGATTCATTGTGGCAGATTCATAGGAAATGGGCTCTTTCATTACATACTATTGCAGAGGGAGATGAAAGCAACTGCAAACTTAAATGTAGTTCCTTTAATATTTCAGGAATGCCTGGTCTGGGTGAAACGACTCAGAGTAAAAGCATGCCTTTTCCTTGGAAGATATTACCTGCCATTTGGAGACCATTCACTGTACTTTTGGACTTTATATTATAAGTCAGACAGCACTAAATATGAAAAATTAGGTATACTTAAAGGCATTCAGATTTACTTATGGTTAACTCTGCCAAAGGAGACTCCTGCAGAAGATGGTCTGCATTTGGCAACAAAAAGGAGCTGTTTAAAATGTTATTGAAAACAGGGTTTTAAAAATGGAAGTGTTACCTAGTGGAAAAATTAGTACGTGTTTAATTAAAAATCCCACTTTTGAGTCACAATACAAGAAAAAGAGCAGAAGAAAAAGGAGTTTTTTGCCTGTCTTGTATGCCTGCATGGGAACATATGTGGCTTGACAGTCTTGAACGGTGTAGTTCAGAAGTTAATGGGTAGGAGAGGTCCCACTGCAGTGGGTTTGGGAGCAAGGAGTCCAAGGCAGTGGCAGGGCTGGGATGGGAGTGGAAGGATGGTGGGGTGGTGGCTGTGGGAGGAGGCTGGTATGCCTCTGTACTCCAGGAGAAAGTCCAGGGAGTGGTAAGAGGTTCAGGAGGAAAAGTGGGGGAGATCACTAGTTTAGGGCCTGTTAAAGACAACAGAAGTTGAGGATCCAGAAGATGGTGTTAACAGCTCGTATCTTTTGATGCTGTTCCAGTGGTTTGGATGAAGTTGAGAGTAGAGTGGACCCCAGATGAATGGTCTGTGCCCACCAAGAAATCATCATTTGACACAGCACTAATTTAATGACCTCACTGGCAATTTGAGTGGAGAGATCAAAGGTGGAAAGACCACAGAAATGAGCTCTCTTTCCTCTGATTAAATAATGTTCCTCTTAGGCATGCTGATGTGGTCCTAAACCAGTGGTTGCAAAATATGTTTCTCCTTTATGGAAGATACTTCCAAAACCCTTCTCTCTTTACCAGAAGAAAGTATTGACTGCTGTCCCATGGTGGACCATGGGTTTCTGTACTAAGTGAAGTGCATGGCCACAGCTTCCTTTCATGCTGTCTGCAGTCCCTCTCTTCCCAGTGTGCGTGCACATATTTTACTTGGCAAGGGTGAAACCTGCTGCTTACAAGGTGATTTATTGCTAATCTGCTTAGCACTCGAGCGTCATCAAACAGCTCTTAGTGTGCTCCAGCTATGCATGTAGTCTTCCTCACTCACTATTTGTCTTTTCCTCAGCACATAAAGTTCTTGTATTTTACAAGGGCTGTTGCTTCCCCTGAGTTATCGTCTTCTCCATTAACAGAGCATGGCTTAACTTTTGATGTCTGCTTAATGTGTTTAGGAGATGTCTCAAATGAGTTTCAAAGACCTGTTAAACTGAGATGAATCTGAAGTACACCCCCATCGCCCCCCTGATTAAAGACCATATTCTGACTTTCTCAGTCACTAGAGTGCCCGTTCGAAATGCACAAAACTTTTTGGTTTGGCTTGATGAGCATAACATCTTTCATCTTGCATTCCACTGTGAGCTCAGCCCAGAGCCTTAGGAACGTAAAATGGTGTTGCTCTTTCCAAAACTAGGAAAAGAAATGAATATGAAGCTGAGCAGCATGAAAAAATAGCAAAAATAGCAGCATATAATAAGATGTAGCATCCTTTGAAAATAATAATATAATCACTTAGTGGAATAAATAAGGAATTTCATTAAAGAATTATTGTATATAAAAACATGTATAGTGGTATGCTTTGGAACACAGATCCTGTAGAAGAATCTGAATGGAGTTGTTGGCATGTTACTGACACAATTTCTTTTTTATCAGGGTGTGGTGTTTGTAAGAGAATGATGCCGTCTTATCAGCAGGCAGCCACAGAACTGAAGGGTAAATATGTAAGTGAGAAGATAAGATTTATATTTAAAAAATCTTTTTTTTTTTAAAGAGAATATTTTTAACAATTTATTGAATATTTAAAAACACAAATATTTATTGAACTGGGTAATTTTTAAACAAGTTGAAACAAAGCCAAAAATGAATGATGCTGTTCCACATTCGCTCAGGATTATCTCCTTTTTTTTGCTATTATTAAAACTTAGCATAATGAGGCATTTACTCACTTGCCTTTTATATCTAGTATGTAGTTTTTGTCAGGGAAAAGTGGGCTCTGACACTGCTTTGTCTAGCTTCTGTTTGGTGAATTTATAGTTGTCTTAAGCTCGTTTTTGTACAGATAAATATTTGCCATTTTGGGTTTGATCAGTTTTTGGCTTGATGTTTCTTATTCAACTCAAGTATGGATGCCCTTAGAGTAATAATTAATCCACTTGCTCAGTGGAGAATCACAGTGTCATGGGAGGGGGATTACTGTACGTTTTCTTGATCATCCTCCTAACAAGTAAGCATAAGCGTTACATGCATAAGCATTGCTATAGCTTTGTCAACAAAGTTAGTGTTTATACCAGGCTAAAATAAAAGCGAGTGTTGATCCTAATAAAATCAATTTGCAGCAGCTGCAATAAGTTGGTTCTCTGTTTGTACTAATAAGGCATATTGATCTCTCTAAGCAAGACGAAGACACTTTCCAAGTCATGTTTTTATAATACACTATGTATAATTTATGTAATACCAATAACACTTGAGTGACACAGAAATGGGATTGTTGTTCCATGGCTTTGGCTGGATTTGGTCTGATTCTACCTGTTGAATCACTTGGGTTATAAGTTTCCTCAAGAGAGGCAGCACGTGGTGAGGAAAAGATGAAGTTCATCTCTGGGGCGGCTCTGGTCAGTGCACTTCATGAGCACTGAGAGCCCTTGGACTACCCCATGTTTTCTCAGCTAGTTGTTTTTCAAGGTGTTTTCTCTAAATTTTTCTCTAAATCCTTGTTTGCTTAGGGCTGAAAGCAGTGGGAGTTGTTCAGATTTCAAGGTTTTACTATGTCCTAAATAAGAAATTTTCAGGAGTGCTTCCATACAGCCAGGCAGCATGCAAATTCCTCTCCCTTCTGTGGAGGGTGTGCTGTTTTCTGGGGGAAGGCACTCCTGTCTTGCACAGCAGGTCTATCACAAGGCGTAGGGTGGACAGGAATTTGAAGCATAAAGAAACACCTACACACGTACTGCCAGAGAGAGGGCATGCTGCAAAACGCTATTTTCCTGCAATTATCCCTTGTCCACATGTAGTTCAGTTTTTATTAAATTCAAACCAGAGAATTTAAACTCTAGATCTGTTTTGTTTGATAATTTCCAAGAAAGAAAGGAAAGAGTTTAGGTAGGCTTAGGCTAATCCTGCCCAGCTCATGGGTCTGGCACTGGTCAGAGGTGCTGTTTTGCACTTGTAGTGTTTTTAGTGCAGGTTTATTTCAGAGGAAAGTCCAGTTATGCCACTGTCACCAGTGTCTTTCACAAATATCAATCTGTTCATCTAAATCTGACCTAGTTAGCTTCCTGAGTGGGATGTGTACACGGTTTGCCATTTCTAAAATTAACTCTGCTGTACCCATCATAAATTATCCATGGGGTGCCTGAGAGCAATGTTGACCTCCAGATCAGGCATTGCTGGAAAGTTTATGATTGTTTTGGATGAGCTGAAGGTTTGGCATTTCAATCAGACCTGTTGTTAGCTGTCAGGATGTGCCAGGGTTAAAAGTGATTATGGCTACTATATAGCAGGAAAATGAAATATAGTATTGCCTATTTAGTAGGTCATAAAAATGAAAAGGTGAACTGTGTCTGTCGTTGGTTGCTATATTCTTTTGGGACTGGTCCCATCTTGCTGTAGTTGCTGAGAGGAAGACTGTATGGTTCAGTATTATGTTAAGTTTAGAGTTTTCTATTCCATTAACCCTAGCACGAACCAAAAAGAGTGGGTCCACATCAGAAGAGGATGGTTTATTTTATCCCTGGCACAAGAGATTCCCCTAGCTCTGCTCCATCAAGTAGCAGGATGGGAGAGTCGCAGGAGAACAGAAGTCAGAAGCTTAGAAGATATGACCAGCTAGCAAAGGTTCAAAGTCAATTTAGATACAGGTAGCTTGGTGGGGAGCAGGTAAAGTGTTGCAGTAAGTCAAATGTCACTGCAGAGGTGAAAGAAATTAACTGATCTTCGTGTTTGCTGTGGATATTTCAAGAGGTAGTGGACTTCAATTGAAGTCAGGGTTATTCAGTCATTTGCTAAAAGACAATTAGCTAAACATCTGGCAGAAGAAGCTTAGGTATAGAGGGAGGATCCTGACTGGGTAGAAGGTATATTTTGATGGTCCCTGTTAGCCTTGATGATACATGATTGTGTGATTATAGGCCAGCTAAAGCAGTAACTTTTGTTTTTAAAAATGAAACCTATTGTAATAGACTTTTGGTCACTTATGCTTCATACAGTGTATGAACACCAGAATGAATCCACGTTCTTGACCCAAATCAATCACTGCAATCTGGCAGAAGATGTAGATGTGGCTGGAAATGCTAATGTAAAACCTAGGAATTTTTTTGAAAGTTCTTGGCAAATCTTAAATCTGGTAGGCTGGTGTAAAGCAGGGAATTAATGAAGCCAGTTCTCACTGTGTAAAGCAACTGATGCATCTTGATCCTATTGAATTTACCTATCCTCAAGAGTTGACATAAAGTATAAGGGAAGGGGAGAACTGGGCCTTAGTATCTCCTATGAATGAAGTCAATCTGGTTGTTAGAATTACAAGGAAAATTCAAAGCAAGAGATGTGACCAGCCAGTATAAATCTTATTTCTGTACTCCTCTCCTCTGAGGTAACTTTCCTTTATCCTTTCTCAGGATAGGCGAGAGAAAACAAAGCATCTTCTTGTGACTTTCCAGCACGCTATTAGAAAAGGTTGACCTTCAAACATGGATTTTGTGCTTTAAGATTTATTTCATGCTGGCTCCTAGCACATTTGGTTGGTCTATGCAGTTTGCTGCAGTCAGGAACCTGGTATTAAATTCTGATGTGATATTTCAGCTGGAAGGAGAAAATCCTGTTTTTGGAGGGGGAAGGAGGAGGTGTTAGGATTAAAACCCTGCTGCTAAAATGATTTAAGCTGTCAATGCCATTAAAACTAAGTTAATCTTGAAGTTGTATCTCAGCAACTGGCTGAAGGTTTGACTGCAGAACAACCTCAGTGTGAATCTCAAACCCACAGAACCTCAGAATTAGTCCTATCTTCAAATTTTCAGGTCAAAAGTCTTTTGAAAACTGTCTTTGAAGGACAGTTGGAGAGGGCACAGGAGCCCTGAGCTTGAAGCTTGCAGTGGATTGCTGGTGTGGAGGGTGGGCTGGGACAGAGGTAAAGAAAGGGAAGGGAAGCTTTTTGTTTCACTTACCAGTCTGAAAAGTTGCTGTGCTCCCATGCCCATCTTTCAATATCTGTAAGAAAAGGCTGTTTCAACTGTCATTACAGCCTGCCAATCAGGTAAGTTAACACATTTAAAGTATATAAATGCCATGTGGCATTTCCTGGGCTCATGGAGAATGTTTTACATCAAAGTAATGCTGATTTTTTTTTTCCCCCTTGCCATTCAGCACACTCTTGAACTGGGATAAAGTCAGTGCTTGGTCAGGCAGACTTTCTGGACGTTAGCTGAGATTTTAAACCAAAAAATGTGGCTAGAACTCTTTGTGTCCTTGTTAACATTTGGATGTGAACCAAGCCATGTACATGCACAAGAAGAAAGAATTCTAGTTGGACTTGTGCTCTCTTTGCAGATTTGTATTTTAAACTACTAGTGAGATTCAGAGAATGCCCTTTTGGTATTTCTGTTAGGGGGTGAATAAAAGGAAATGGAGGTGCTGTGAGAGCAAGGAGTACATGACAGGCTGAATGGTTTGTGCTTTCTGTGGGCTAGGCTCAAATATTGCTCTGTTTTTCCTTGGTCAAAATCAGAAGCGCTTCATTGACTTTTATGAAGTCACCCTCGGTTTACAGCAGTATGAGTGAAATCAGAACCTGCACAGAGTTTAGCTGGCTTTACTGCTCTTTAGAAGTCATGTTGTTACTACTGTATTGTAAGAATCAATATAATTATGCTCTGTTTTTTTCAGGTTCTTGCGGGGATGAATGTTTACTCTGCTGAATTTGAAAGGATAAAGGAAGAATACAATGTCCGTGGATATCCTACAATCTGCTATTTTGAGTCAGTTATGGTTTGCTACTATTTAAGAAATCATACACTTGACTATAATTGCATGTTCTTATCTTCAGGGCAAGCACTAAACCTTGTTTTGTTGCTTTAATAGGAAAGGAAAGTTCCTGTTCCACTTTGAGAACTATGGTGCTACTGCAGCAGATATAGCAGAGTGGCTGAAAAAGTAAGGCACTGAAGTTCATACACTCCACCTTTTATGTACCTTTTATTATTTACAGAATGTAATGTTTTAGGATCAGCCATCCCTCTCCCTCATTCCCTCTGCTCAAAAGAGCAAACAAAACTACCCCTCTGAGACTGGCTAAACTAGCACAGAGAGATTGCATGCTAAAAAACAAACGTTAGGCATGCCTTGTGTTTTACAATTGCATTTCATATGTAATAGGGTACTGACTATGGACCAAAATTAATGCAGATGCACAGATCTTGGCGTCGTTAAAAATGCCAACTTAAATTTCCAATGATCTTGGGTGCCTAAATTTAATACCTCCCAAAAGGTGTGACTTTGGTTGTTTTATTTAAAACGTACGTGCCAAGTATACAGTTCTCATTAGTTCCTTAACCTTCAGATGGAATATTCCGTGTTTTCTGGTGACACAGTAGAAACTAGCACCCTGGATTGCTAGTCATTTTTACAAAGCTTGTTTCCCGTTATGACTTGAAGTGGTGTTGAAAGTCTCCTGTTCTACCTAAAGGCATCTGTTTACAGTTGTAAATCTTTAAATTATGTGAATTATGTGAAGAAGTAATCTTTAAATTATGTGAATATAAGTTGCAAACTATTGTGATGATATGGCTTAGCAAAATTGGAATAAAATAAATGTGTTTTACTGCCCCAATGGAACTACGCTGGGGACACGGGAAGGGTTGCAGGTAGCCCAGGGGCTTCAGCAGTGGTAGGCTAGGTGGTTCAAGGTGGGGACCTGCAAACGTAGCGCCAGCAGTGTTCCTGTTGGCTTCAGGAGGTACAAACAGTGAAAGCAAGCACTGCCCTGTGGATCAAAGAGAAGAGATTTAGGTGTAGTCTTTAAGCTTCATTTAGTCCATTCAGCCTTTCAGAAATTAATGATCAAGATGGCAACTCCGGCAATGTTGAGGAGATGATCAGCCCACAGAGCAAGGCTGTGACTTCATCACCTGTACCGTATTATGCTTTTCAGTTCTGCAAGGATGTCGTTATCTCTTGGCTTCCATGTGTGAAACATTAGATGTTTGGGGTGAGTTTTTTCCCCCGTCTGCCCACGTAATATCCAGATAATCCCTGTAATATGCAGTGCCTTTCTATCAGTGCTGTGACAGCAAGTGAACACAGCTACTGGAAGCAAAGCAGAACAGCTGCAAGCTCTTTCCAATGATAATCTCTGCTAACAAGCCATAGTGGGCTTTGGCTGATACTCCAGCAGTCCAGAGCTAAAGACAGCTGTTTGTCCTCACTTAGTGCTCAGTGCATGTTTATTAGCTTCCCAAAAGATGATCTGAGTGGTAGCCTTCTTACTCCTGTTTTGTATAATAAATGCAACTTTAAGGAAAGCACGTCTGAGAAATTATGCGTACTTAAATTTTGCCAGTAATTGATGTCGTAATTAAAACTGTATACTGTATATAGAGGGTAAATCTGCTACATGCATAATATTGCATTACTCTGAGGAGTATAAGTAGTCAAATGGTATGGTGGGGGCTTTAGGAAAGCCAAAGATTGTAATTAGATAGCTGCAGGGTGTATACTCTATATTTCAAAACAGCATAATATTAAAGCTCTCACCAGATAACTCAAGCTAGAATTTAATATCATCGCTGTTGTGATTTCCTGTGATACTGGTGTCTTGAGCAGTGTCCTCTCACCTCTGAGGAGGAATGATGCTAGCTCCCTTTTCTGAAAACACAACTACAGCAGAACAGGCATAGGCTATGAATTAGCTAGGCACCAAGACCACATCCTAAATCTAATGCTCAGTCTCTGAACTCCCTGAGTGTCAGGTGCAGTTCTGTGTTCCCCAGGCTGTGTCACTTTTAAGGAGAGGTGATTCTGAAGTGATGTTGGATAGGGTGGAGGCTGCTGCCAAGACAAAGCTGCGCATGTCAGGCAGGGAGTTGCTCAGATAGGAGATGCCAGTCAGCCGAGCAGGTGTGCTGAGCAGCAGGGGCATGGCACTGCCAGAGTGTCCATGCCAAAGAGAACCAACGTGTGTTTATGCTGTGCGTGCACATGCTCTTGTCCGTATGTTCTTGAAAGAGAATCCAGGAGACACTGTGCCATATGAAATGACCTGGTTTTTGTGGACACAAGTTAGACGCCACAGAAAGGCAGCTGTTTTCTCTTAGCTCCTCTTGGTATTTTGACCTCTAAATGTTCATGGCTAAGTGCTGAAAGTGGTTGATCTGTGCTGATTTAGGGCAGGGGGCTGCGGAGTATAACAACAAAGGTTAGAATTACTTGAACTGTGAAGAGGATGTTTTTCACATTCTTTTCCCTCAGAGCAAGAGCTACTAGTTTGGAGGGTTCCAACACCTTTTCATTTGTTAGTTCATGAAGGCACTTCTTTCTTGTGTTGAAGTGTCCTAATGCATCTGGCTACAGGTACTTAACCCCTCTTATCTTCCTAATAGGCACTGGCTACTATCTCGTGGAGTTTCAGATGGTTTTATGGGGTGATAGAGAGAAACCATCACAGTCTTATTCCAACACACAGCATTATTAACACGGGAGATGCTATCTTGTACATACAATTCTTTTTTTATCCATCTTCTTACACAGCTGCATTGATCTGGATGGTAGGCAAGCCAGACAGCTCCTTGCTGCCTCCAATAGCTGCTTAGTTTGTCTCGCAGTTTTTGTGGACTTCTCTTGGGCCTTTCCTTAGCACTACCTAACTACTCAATTAAATCAAGAACTTGCTCTCTGTTCTTAATTCAATTAGCTCTTGATATCTCTTCCAGACTTCTGTCATCCTATTTTTGGTCTTCAGGCGTTGGATGTGCCTTCTCTCAGTTTTAAATGACATTTTAGATTTTGCTTGTTGTCTCCTCCAGGCTTTGAGGTACTTCTTACCAACTCCTGTGTAGGCTAATTAGCATGCACAGCATTTTAAAGTGGGCCATTTGAATAAACATCCTGTGCCCTGCTTTACTAATTCCTTGCTGAAATAGGTCATGCCGGGCTCTGCTGAACACAGCTTTCTTCTGGTGCTTTGTGGCCAGCATGTCCGTGTTCATCATGCTCAAACTACTCAAACCAGCTCCCCTACCAAATTGATTGTGTCGTGGTATTTTCTGGAAAGACTTCATCTGCCAGCATACCTGTGGATTATTGCTGTTTCGTACAGGCTTGGCAGCAAGCACAGTGATTCTCTGGGCAGCTTTGTGACACAGCCCCTGAATTGTCACAACTCTGCCTGTGCTGTGGGTCTCCTGGGCCATTTAGGTGGTAAACTCTCATAGACAGGGACTTACCTCTTTTTCTGTTTAGGCTGCTTGGCTTCGTGCAGCTCCCACCTTTGTTTGTTTTTTGGTTTGTTTATCCTATGAGCAGCATCAGAGGTGTGCATCGCAGCTTTGCACACATTGCTTAATATTCTTGGATTGGACCCATTGCTTACATCAACAGAACTTGCTATCTGAATCTGTATATCTCTGCTGATTTCTTTTTATCAAACTAGGCTTTCAGCCTAGCAATGAGCAAAGCAGAATAAATGAATTATCATCCGTTTGCCATTCCTTGTTCCAGGCAGCTAACACAATAATACATTTTAATCAAAAATAGTAAATCTGCTTTCACCAGGGATGGGGCCACATCCAGATTTGTGCTTTGCCAAAGAATTTGGGGAATTTGGGGGGATATTTGGAACTCATTACTACACCTGGCAAGGATAAAGTAGCTTCAAAGTCTGGCTCCAAATGTTCCTGTGTTTGGGTGTACTTTATGTGAGCAGTACTTTAATAAATAAAATGTCAGTTAGCATAGTTTAGTTCACATATGCCAAATTCTCTTACAAATGTACATTGATAAAAGGAAAGAGCACTTGTGTAGTGGAATGATGGGCAATTGAACTGGTCCAGAGCAACTGAGGTTCAATTTCCAGATTTTCCAACGTGTCTTTGAGCAGTCTCTCTGGCTCTGAGCCATCAAAGATGGTTAAGCTCATGTGCAATCACAGGGAATTCAGTGGAGCGCGTCACTTATCTTTTAGATTAAGCATGCAGTTTGAGTAGCTTTGCTGATTTAGGCCTGTGAGCCCACTGTCACGGGAGGACATAACGATGCTTCCCCAGGTCACAGGGTTGTTGAGGGTAAAGCCATGCCATGAATTCCCGGGTAAATGCCCTGGTGTACACTGCACACAGCTCACTCATGGTCCCGACATTGCCACTCCTCCTTTCTGTCAGCCCTATAATCAATATTCTGTTGGTATTCAAGGTGACTGGTTAGATTGGCTGTTTCTACTCACTGCTTTTTTCTTTCATTTGCAATGACTCCTGTGAACTACTAAGTGTGAGTGCTGTAAGAAAGGAAGCATCCTGCTGAGGAGGCTAAAGAGTAATAGAAAAATACATCAGATTTTTATAATGTAATAACTAAGCAGTCTAGTTATCTCTTCACTCTGTCCTCTTCTATTTCTGATCTGTCCTTGTGAGCTCCTTGTGGTTTTTTTTCCTTTCTCTTCCAGTTCTGTCTGACTTTTGGCATTTATCACTTTTGAGTGGAAGAATTACTGAAGCTGTTCAGTAGGGTTAGTGTGTCAGACCCATGTGGACGTTTGCACGAAGGTGGTTCCTTGCAATCCAGCTTGCTAAAATTACTACTTAGCACCAACGAGCTGCTTTTCAGCTGTGTCTGTTTGTCTTGTAGCCCACAGGCACCTCAGCCACAGGCTCCGGAGACTCCCTGGGCAGATGAGGAAAATGTAGTTTATCACCTGACTGATGAAGACTTCGACAAGTTTATAAAAGATCATTCATCTGTGCTGGTGATGTTCCATGCACCATGTGAGTTTGCTTTTTCTATTCTGTACCCTGATCCACATGCTTGCAAACAAAACCAATGATAATTTGCTGCGTAGGTTTCGCAGAACCATAAAATCAAAGTCCAGGCTTCTCTTGTTTGCTGTGAATCTTAAACACACAGGGCATGAAATGTTTGTGAAGCTGCTGGTTTCAAGTTTAGGATAGAGGTATGCTGCTGGAAGAGGTGTTTTGTAGGCTGAGTCAAAGCATAACTAAAGAGCATAATAATGCTTAAATAGTCAGAGGAGTTGTCATTTTACAAGATTACCATCAATGTTTGGTTAGTCTTCTTTGTTATTTGCTTTCAAGCCAGAGCTCTGGTTGTTTCAGCAACTCCATTTGAGATCTGTGAGGTCATGAGCCCTTCTTCACAGCTGCAAATGCACCAATTTTAATCACGGGGGTGACTCACTTTCACTCCTCTGCCACAGTTCTCTGGCAATCTAAGCAGTGATGGTCATTCAGTGTTGTGCTGAAGCATGCCAAAACATTATGTAAGTTCAGAAAGTCCCTGCGGCCTTTGATACAGAGCTGGTAGTGATACTACTTACAGCTTGGCTGAGAATGAATTGGGCTGATTTTTTTGATGATTTGAGACTTCAGCTGGAGCAGTAAAATGCAGTGGGTTGCCCTAAGGTATTTCCCTCTGAAAGCTCTTCCAGCTACCTTGTCCTCCTGTATCTTGTACCCTCCAGATTAATACCTGCATCAACTAGTTTGCTTGCTAATGATGCAACATGTTACAGCTATGCAACAGGTTCTACCAATTCTTTGTATCTTCAGTTGGAGGTTCAGGCTCAGATCTGCTGTGTTGGATGATACACAGCTTGTCTCCTCTTGCCACCGTGTTGCCAGTTGCACCTGGATGAGATGTTTGTTTTCATGGGCCTAGGTGAGGGCACTGGAGGCAGGGTACGTGCTCACAGCAGAAAAACTGGAGGTCTTGGCACAGAGGCTGCAATCCAGCTTCCTGTTAAACCAGCGGGAGTTAGCACCTAAATGCTTTATTTTAAGGTTTGCTCATAAGACTCGCTTGGAAAACACCATAATGAATTTCCTTTGCCTGATGAAACATCCAGCAATTTGATCCGCGGAAGCAGGAGACTGCTGTTTTGTCGTTGTGTTCACTGGATGATTTGTAGTAATGAAAGTGGGGCCGGAGATGAATGCCTGGTGTGAGAACTAAAACACAAGTACCAGAACTGATGAAGCCTGGTTTGCTAAGGAGTTATCCTTCGTTACCCAAATCCTTCCTTCCCTCAGCTTTCTGTGCACTCCTACTGTGCAAGAGGCAGCACAGGCGGCTGCTCATCTGGAGCTGCACGCTTGCTGGCTTGGCAGGACAACAGCTGCCAGTCAGGAAGGTAACTGCTGAATTTCCCTGCTTCACTTCTCTGTGTGCAAGGGCTTGGGATATGCATTCTCCCCATATACCCCCAGATTTCTTTAAACATACATTATTTTATTAGTATTTGAAAGCTTTGTTGGTTTTTGAGTTTCTAAATGGGCAAAGGAATTTGATAATCTATTTGGAAGGAGGCAGAGAGAAGAAACAAAAGTTTGTCCTGTAAACCACATTCCTGTAGGAAGTCAGGATAAAAATAGATGCAGCTACTTTCAAATTTTGTAGGAAACTCAAGTTAGTTTTAAACCTGAACATGGCTCTGTTTAATTTTTGTTTTCTAATATCCTCAAAAAGCACAGGTAATATATAACACAGATAATTTAATTGTAGGTATGATGTGACCCATTTGGAGAGGAGGAGCCCTTGCAGCTGAGTGTTTTGTACGGAGGGGCGTTCTGTGCTAAGGTACAGCAGTACTTTGGCAAATGTTGTTATAAAAGTAAATCAGTTCCTGAACTGGGCTGTTGCATTCTCCTGATAACATGTTCCAGCTGCTTGGGATTGAAACAAAGAATGTTCCTTACCAAGAAACTTAATTTTAAATGTAAAGTGAATATTTAGGGCATAGATAATGTGTAATACATTTTATTTACATTCAAGTGGTAGTGGTCTGCCTACCTGCAGAATCCAGCTTGTAAATGTGTTAAAGATCTTTGTGGTTGTAAGAATCCTCTGTGGGCAACCTCAGCACAGAGTGCGAGGCTTGCAAACCAATTAATGACAGGCAGCTATCATAAACAGTTTTCTCTGTGATTAAAAGATCTTCTCTAAGCACTTTTTAAATTTATTAATGGAGACACCTTATGAATGTAAGGAGATAAATTACTCCAGTAAAAGAAACAGTAAAAATGGAGGACATCATTTGAAAAAAAAAATCAACCCTTTGTGGCTTAGGATGTGACAGTTGCTTCTAAAAATTAATAACTAATTTTATTCTTTGAAACATGAACAAAATAGGCCCAGAACTCAGGATATACTTCTTTGTAACTAAGAATAAGCAAGAGGATTCAACACTGGCCTGGAATTAGTAAGGACTTAGAAAGCTATGTCCCTGTGCAGTGTACACGTGACTTGGAGTTTTTATAACAGGTTATAAATCTCGTGTTCATGCAAAGATCTTTTACTAGAGACAGAATTATTTCAGTGATGCTTTAATTACAATTCCGCAGTCAGATGGCCGATGTATTAATACACTGTAGTATTAAAAGATGTGTGGGAAGACGGAAGCTTTTTATTCCTCCCCCGCAAGTGCTGAAGAGGCAGTTGAACCAAATGCACTCATGGTAAATACCTGTGAACTGCAAAATTAGGCACTGTGATGAATGTGGCCAGTTGGATCTCCATGCCTGTGGCTACTAATGATCACCCGTGAGGCCCACTCTATAATTATTTACAATCAGTTGCTCTCAGTAGCCCAATTAGAAGTGTTGCAGCATTTTGTGTTAAGTGCAGCCTAGTATGTAACTAGGATCAACCAGAGCAGCTACGGGTGATTTAAACATATCAGGAGCATCTGTAGCATGCAACTTGCACCTCTTGCTATCAGTGACCTTACACCTTTTCTGCAATAATTTAGTACAGCCACTAAATAGAAGATGTGCTGCTTTGAATCGCTACTGCTGGCCCTGAAACATGTGGGTGACTGTAGGTGGGATGAGTTCATCTTGCCATCGTTTTGCAGGTCACTAGGGACACGAAGTAGGATTTTTAACCTTCTGAAACTTCTTTGTAAAGCCCTTAAGAGGATGTTCAGCAAATCTGAATGTTTAGCATAGGTAAACAGCGACCCAGCCAGCCGAGAGTCTGAGGGCACTCCTCCGCCTCAGCCAGTGCAGACGGATACACAGCAAGCATTGTGTTCCTTCTTACCCAGACATTTTGCTGAAATTTTGTAAATGCTGGTGATAAGCATATTGTTAGCCTGGATACATCCAACCATCCAGACTGTGCACTCAGCATTGCCATTCATGTCACATATAACGTGATGAAGGTGACTGGTCTTGCAGACATCTGAAGTGATTTTTCTGTGTTGCTTTTACACAGAAGAAAACTGGGATCTATGACACACAGCACTATAAAAAAGGAGAGCAAACAAACGGTCTCTTCCCCTGAAGGTTTTGGAGTTGTTGCTTGGATTGGCCATGTTCCATAGCACGAGTCTCTAAGAGATGTGTCACACCAAGCAAAGGTGTAGCTATGTATGCCATCGCTAGACCAAACAAAGCTCAACCATAGCATAAATACAGGCATCTATGTAGTTTATCATAATGTTCTGTTAGCAGTGAAAATAAGGACTGCGTGTCTGTTTGTGCATCTTGCTCTCCGTGCTGATCAATTTATTTAGCTGCCCAAGATGACAGCTGGGTTCTGAGTGTCTCTAAATTTAAGCTCTACTGCCAGTCAAATGTTGCTAAATGCTTTAGTGACATAGTGGCTCACTGGGACTTAAAATGTTCCTGAACCACTTGAGTGCAAAAGAGCCCTTTTTTTGCACTTTGTTTGTGTTTTCATTTGTCCCCGTCAAACTGCTGAGTCAAATGCTATTTTTAGAAAAATGCTGTCCAGAATATTTGCCAAGTTAGTGCAGTTTGCAGTCTTTCAGATTGGGTTTTGTCGAAAGAATAAAAAAACGTTAATTTCTCATTCTACATTTTTCCCATCGTTTTGCTCCAAAGCACGATCTCAGAGTCTTGGACAAAATAACCCTAACCAAGTCATGGATAAGTCAATTCAAATGCTACTGAGGAGAGTTTAAAGTCTTGTATTGAAATTAAAGCAAATTCAGCAGTGGGTTCTAAAAGATGTCTGCTTTTCATGCACAAGAGCAACTTTTCATTATGTTTTGTTAACACGAATGACACTGCTAACACTTTAAGGTGTAGCTGTTCAGGAAGCCTCGTGTACAATGAAGTCCACAAGCTGTAGCTTCCCTGGGTACGTTCAGGAAGGGCAGATCTGAGTAGTCAGTTGCTGTTGCTGGTGAGTGATGGTTGGTAGCCTCTGATGGTTGCTTATTTTTCCCCCCCTCCCTCTCAAACCCCATTGTCCATAAAAAAAAAAAGTCTGTGGTGTGGTACTGCTGCCAGGGCAAAAGGAGGAGAAGAGGTTGTTTGTTCCTACTATTACTATGAACATGCATTGGTGTTTTAAAGATTTGAACTATTAATATATTTCTCCTGCACCATTTCTTCCTTGTGTATGAGCTTAAGTTCATGTTAAACCTATCTTCTACCCAGCCCTCTTCATAGGACTTCGTCATAGACATTATATAAGGTGTAGTTGCAGTGCATAAGGTTAGGGAAAATGCCAATATTCTTAGTGGGATGTTGGAGCCATCTCTGGTTTTATTCCTTGATAAGAAAGGCAGGCAAGGAACATGCATCTTTTTTTCCCCTGCGCCTTTAATTTGCTCATGGAAAGTGCTTTGGTGATGCAGCTATGACATTATCTCTTCTTGCTCCCTCTTAATAGAAGGGAGGGAAAAATAAATCTTGAGACGATAAAATTCAATACAGTTTTGATGTGTTGTTGAAATGTCCATGAAATTCCTTTCCTGTCCTCGGATATTTTCTCTCCC